GTGAGTGTGTGTGTGTGTGTGTGTGTGTGTTTGGTTGTCTGAATGTTTGTTTGATTTTTGGGGATATTTGTTTTTGAATTTTTTATATTTTTTTAACGGGGGATCGGGATGAATGTTAGGGATGTGCTGATCTCTTAAAATATAAACAAACAGCAATTTTGTATTTGCTCTTTTTACAAAAAATCAACATTAAATATGCTCACCACAATATGTTTAAAAATAGCTTTTTATCTTTCTTTCTAGAATATCGTTTCTACGGGCACCCCCCCCCCCCCCCCCCACACACACACACTTTTTTCCCTGCCACTCCAAAATCATGAACCCGTGTAAATTGTGGGTGTGAACAGACAGGCAACGGATGAGTCATTTAGATAAGCCGTGTGATGTTGGAGAACCGCGACTTTTAATGTTTTCATAAAGTTCATATTGGGACATGAATAGCTTTCTATTGCCAGGATGCTATGATTAAAAGAATGAGTGCCGTACTTGGCTCTTTGCACATCCTCACAGAAAATGAGACCTTTTCTATTCTTCAGTTATTATATCACAAACTTTAGTGCGCAACACCAAGATGTGTGATATATTGACCTACTTTTAACATGTGCAAAATTAGGAAGAAATAATCCCTGAGTGTACAAGTGGTTCTCGCTGACTAAAGACAACGGCATACTATTTGACAGTCGATGGAATGTGCTTCAAAATATGACCCAAAAAAGTTGTACCCCACCCTAAAAATTTCCGAGAACACTGTAAGAACCGCAATCTGTAAGACACCATAAACTGGAGCCATTGAAGCAGAAAAAGAGGAGGAAGACTCTCAGAAACTGCCTAGGAAAGAGAGGAAAAACTTCCCACCCTGAATTCGCAACTTCAATTACCATTTTAACAGTGATAAAACAGTGCTCGTAAGTTAATAATTGGCCAAAATTGTTAACGAAGAGCTAGCTGTTATGCCACAGTTAGAATTTAATAAGTTTAACGAAGAGCTAGCTGTTATGCCACAGTTAGAATTTAATAAGTATAGCGAAGAGCTAGCTGTTATGCCACAGTTAGAATTTAATAAGTATGCCAAGCTTTGGAACGCACTCCTTGAAAAAGGCAAAACGGGCTCATACACCCGTTTGAGAGATGAGCGATGAGGTATAGATTCTAATATGATATCTTGAGTGAGAAGAGCGCTTATAGTGTGTTTTTAGGCGCAATTTGGGGGGGGGGGAGTTCTCAGGATTATGTATACATGTATTGTCTACTTTTTTTTAAAAACCCATTCATTTTAAGCAGTGACATGGGGTCGGGGGGGGGGGGGGTAGGCACAGCGACAAGACAAATAGCTCAGCTCCTAGACATTATTCTTTTAAGAAGTATTATGTGTGACATCATGTTGAAATCAGGCGTTTGTCAAAATAATGGAATCAAAGACATCGACGTTTTTCCGTTTATTGGCCAATTTCGATCGTCTTTTTGGATTGGGGCTCAAAACCTTGTATATCCATTAAAAACACATTCCTAAGTGAATTTTACTGAAAACCATTGATCAAAGGCACAAAAATGGGTAAATTTTCTGTTTCCATAGGCTTGAAAGTCGCCACATTCTAGCTGTCTTTTTTATCAGTAATTATACCCAGGGGCGATTGTTGACTTGTTTGACAGGGTAATCAAAGTGAAACGGAACCAGATATGGCCTGGAGAATACTGGAGAAATCACACAAGAATCTTACTCGAGGCGGCGACTTTGAGTTGTGAATGAAAACAAATCCGGAATTCATATTGTATGTTCAACCGCCAAAATAATCGGGAAAATATCTTATTGAATACCAATTCCAACTAAACTTAAATTAAACTTTAGATGTGAATACACAAACGCAAAGCAAAGAAGCAGAGATGTCAGTACTAGATCTATATGTTATAGATCTACCAGTGAGTCTAACTCTTTGGTAGAACATGACAATTATCTTATTTTTTTAATGTCACAAGCATTTGCAGCAGTCAAGAGATTATTAAGAGTTAGTTCCCCTCACATTTTTGAGGTAGACTCGACCAGTGTAATAGTTAGCTTACATAATCAGAGGTTAGTGACTGCTTATAACTGTACCCCCAAAGGGGTGAACAGGGTATTTGTGGCAATCAAACAGTTCTGACTGCTATGCACATGTTGCCTTCAACTCTATTGGTAGACTCTTCCAGCCTCAACTTAAGCTTACTTAATCAAAGCTTGTTACTGCTTATGGAGTGGCCCGAGAGGGGTGAGCAGGCTATTTCTGTGGCAGTGAAACGTTTTTGAATGTTAGGCATACTGTTCATTGTTGATTATGGCCGTCTTTTTACATTTAATTTATGAGGTTTACGTTTATGGATGAATTTGACAGCGACAATGTTTCAAAATTAAGAAGGGAAGCAGTGATTATTTGATTATATAGACGCTTCGCCACTGATTATACCTCTGAAACCAGGCAGCCGCCCTCCCCCAACTTATGTCATTCGCAAATATCTCTACTTCTATTTAAGATAAATTGTGGTTACTTTTTATAAAATTTTCATCAAAAGCAAGAAAAACAAAAAGGCTCTATCTAAGATTATATTAATAACTTCGTATGCTCAAAATCGAATCGTAAACCATGACATATTATAATATGAAAGACTGCTTTCAAAAACTCGCGAACGTAATTTTAATCCACATTTTTGTATTCTGATTTATGAAATTCGATTACCTGAATCAATATAACCGAACCATAGGTACTCCGTTGTAAATTTCGACAATGACTCACTCCACAGTGCATCAAAGTCAAAGCGGCATCCTGGGAAAGTGGAAAAAGGGGGGGGGGGGATAAATGCGTAACGTTAGCAACTCTACACCCACGGATCTGCACCAACTGTTGAATAACACATCCACACGTCCTCCTTCCACCGTACATTGTCTCTGTCTTGCCTTCCTTTCTCGTTTGTTTCAGTCTCCTTAACAGTAACTGTGTTCTTTTGCGACAGAAGGCCCCGAGCACCACCAGAACATCCCCATCTACTTCACTTTCTCCTTCTGTATCATTCTTGTTTCTAATTTGTGCGTCCACTTTACCAATTCGTTCGCGCCCGTGTACTCTCTCTCTCTCTCTCTCTCTCTCTCTCTCTCTCTCTCTCTCTCTCTCTCTCTCTCTCT